TGATCGTCCGGGTGAGTGTAGTCCTGAGAAGGACTGTTGTCGGTGGTAGTGACTGACGTTTCGACAACCTGTGCGGAAGTCATCATCAGAGTCAAGTGAATAGTTGTTGTCAGTAGAATGTTCTTATTTCAGTTCGTGTAAAATGATTGGTCAGTTTTGCCGTGATGTTATTGGCTGTAAGACTCAAGTGGCGTAAGTCGGTCGTGATTGGTCTGTTTCGATCCGTCGGTAGAGTTAGGTCGTTCTGTTCGGTTCGTTTGTAATGTTTTTGTTGTGAATGAGTCGTTTTTATGGAGCCGGTAGTGGTTGACATCTGTTTAAGGGAGTCTGTTCTAAGTTAGTAAACCAGCTTTCCAGAGTCAGTCGTTGAAAGTAGTCAGTGCTGTAGGTTAGACATTGTGCAGAGTCCCAGTCAATATTGTGGTTCGTAAGTCGATGATGTTCAGCAATATGATTGTTGACATCACCCAGTTTCCTCGTCGCCCGTCTGTGTTCAGTCAGTCTTGTTGCGAGGTTTATGCCAGTCTCTCCGATGTAGGAGGCTTGGCAGTCGGAGCAATTGATCTTATACATCGATCCCTGTCTGTTCCTCGGTTCGTCCTTGTCTTTGACGTTGGTTAGTAACTGACGTAGTGTGGTGATGGGTTTGTGGGCGACGCGGATATTGAAGGGTTGTAAGATGCGCGAGATGTTTTCAGACATACCTTTTATGTCCGGTGTGGTTGCTGTAGTCGTAGTAGTTGCAATGTCGTTTGTTTCGGTATTGAAATAATAACATTCTACTGACAACAATTATTCACTTGACTCTGGTGATGACTTCCGCACAGGTTGTTGAAACGTCAGTCAGGCTACAACCAACCACAGTCCTCAGGACTACACTCACCCGGACGATCACACTACACTTTCACATGTTACCCCCGGGTTCAAGCCATTTACTGCATTAATTAGGTTCTATTAACTGAATTGGTATTGTAAATTGACAACCGAAAAAAGTTTCAAAGCTGACGTTTCGAACGTTAGCCCTTCGTGAGAGCGAAAGGCTAGGGGGCAAGCTTTTAAAAACTCTTTACGGTGGTCGATTTACATTATCAACAGTTCATAAAACCTATTTACTTAGAATATAGAGTTTAGTTTCCTTTTGCGTTGTGTTTTTAGTTTAGTTATTTCATCTCTGAGGGAACTTATTATTTGCTTTTGCTGTAGCTTCGAACTATTCATGGTCTTCTTTTCGCCATGGGAAACACTCTGCATGCTGACAGTCAAAGACAAGCGGGAATCGCTCTTGAGGTATTTATGTGCTATGGACAGGAGAAGCATTTGTGCAGTGGAGGCAACAACCGCCTCCCGGTTAGCTCAATGGATAGAGCGCTGGACTGTTGTGCGGGAGGTCGAGGGTTCGAGCCCCGGCCGGACCAACACTCAAGGTCTTAAAATAATTGAGAAGAATATGCTTCCTTNTGGGGTGGGTTGGGTGGGTTTATTAGAGGGCCATGTGTTAGAAAACTCTTTACTGGGTTAATCATGTATCTACCCTCTCGAAATAAAGAACATTGTATTGTATTGTATTGACAATCACCGCACAAGGCATTCGTTTAGTTCCCGTCACTCAGACAGTAGTGACGTCATCAGTCGTCTTTACATAATGTAGTTCAGACCCATCTCAATTTTTTAAATTTAAGGTGGCTCTGCTGATATTAATTCATCAAAGTTTAATTCAACGAAACCATTTTAAGTCTCTTTAACAGATTTAAAAATTTGAAAAATTTACGAATGCTTTTTTACATCAAATTACAGGAGAAATCTTGGTGTTACGTGTTAATTAGTTACGTGGAAGGAGCATGACAGAAATACAACACGGACGACCAGAATTTTCACCGCGGCGCGTTATTTGTAATTTGCACTCGTGTTGAAACTTTGCACTCCGTGTAACTTTGCACTCGTGCAATACGAAAAATACACTCGTTTTCAGCCAATGAAAGGCATGTAGCTTTTTCATGTATGTTTTTAATAGTTAATTAACCCTAGGCCAAGTTAAAAGTTTTACATCCGGCTAGTATTTATTTTTGAAATCACGGGGTAACTTAGTTCTGGCTCAATCAGTTAATTTTTTGTTAACAACCATTATTAATCATGATTAAATGGCTTTCTTTAACTGTCCTCAGTTTTTTGTCCGATCTTATCCTCTTGTGAACGACCGTGTTCGCGAGGCACTTGGCGATACGTTTTATGAAGAATTCATGGTAAGAAATCCAATTGTTTAGTCGAATTTGATTAAAGATTTCTGTTCACACACTTTAAAAGGGCGCGTTATGATTATGATTAGAGCTCTGGAAACCATAATGCATTATTTAATAAGCTGAAACATATATTACAAGCATTTGGATTGGTTCTTTTGATCGATTCGAGGGCAGAAGGATTGATGTCGTCGTCACCATGAGCAAGATTTGGTTACTTATGTAGTAAAACCGCAATACACATATATGATTTTCATATATTAAAAAACATTTTGCTTTTTTATCAATTAAAACAAATACATTCTATTTTACCGTGGGTCTGCACAATAAAAGATCACAGAAGACAACAAAATTTGGTAGTGTGCCAGTTTTTTTTATTCTCACCACAGTTTGACGTCATATGTGATTTATTACTGAATAGACCTCCGGTAACATGGAATCTATTTATAGGATCCTGGACTAAATGTGACACAGTCTTCGAGCAGGGTCTGTTTTGCGCTGTCTCAAGATTGCCTCGCGGGCTTCTTGCGGAGTGCGATTTACCGTGGTCCTCCCGTTTGTAAGAACTGGAATCAGGCCCCAACCCACTCTTGCAGACCTCGCGACATTAGTTCGTGAAGTCTGCAAGAGTCGAGCTAGTCCTCTTACTGCCGATAAAGTGGCAAACAATTGCTCCCAATGAGGTCACATATATGTGTATCTTCTGATTAATCAAAGCTGAAAAAAATAAATCTAAATGAGCTTATTTTGGATCTGAACCCTGCGTGGCCGTTTGCGATAAGCATAACTGGCTTCGAAATCACCGTGTTGGTTTCGAGGCTTATGTACTAAATGAATTGGGTACCAAGTATAGCTCGATTATTTAACTTTTCCCTTCTTATTATTATTCATCTTCCTTGTTTTTTTTTTTCTTTTCTTCATTAGTCTCATCCAGACACCATGTATGTGAGTATGACAGCCATCCAAGCTGATGTCTTGGTGTCGAACAAAGTCAACATACCAGGAGGTAAATAAAAATAAAAACATAAAAAGAAACATCTTTTCACTTTCTCTTCAGTCGTAGTTTATGCCATTGTGACAACGAAGGAAATAACACGCAACGAAACCCCACCACATGACACCCCTTACAAATATATTCGACCTCACCATCCCACTCTTGTGTCACCGCCCAAGCTCAATTTATTCATTTAAAATAAATATTCAATTACTTCGGTGTTCGTGTAATTTTTAAGATTTTCGATAGGAAAGTAGTTGCTATGTACATATATTTGAAAGGAAAATTATGAAAAAATCGTGGAAAAACGTTAAAAGATCGTCAGCACTGTGAATTTGGAGACGAGCTTGGTTTTTTTGGACTTGTTCCCTTCCTCTCATATAGTCTTGTCAAACTTTGTTCTTCAGGCATAAGTGTATTATAATCAGTGTAAAATGAATCTATTTTTCTTTTGTTTTTCAGTTATCGAAACTAAAGAATAACGTGTTTTCGATGGTGAAAACGTTACAGTTGTGGTTAAAACTGCACGGCAGTGCGTATTTGTGGTGTAGGCACCAAAAGAACAGGATCTGTCAAGTCCTTCCTCGTTTGTAAATAATCAGTGATAAACGGTTATAGGTAATCATGAACACAACTATTCCAGTCTGTGTATTGAGCTGAAAATAAAACTTTGAAATTTCATGTTTTTTCCTTTCATTATTTTCTGATGGAGTTGCTGTAAAACTTACTGCGCGCCTTTGAAAGTGAGTTGGACTACAGAAGGCCCAACTCACCCATTTGGCTCTAGTAAACGTGGAATATATTTATGTTGCATAATATGCCAAGTGGAAAAATTTATATGGGAATGAACGGTTGCATTGTGAACCCAAAAATCTGGACTGTGTTTGTTTCTTAGCATCCTGGTGGTGTTCTACTGAGGCTAATTAACGGTCATTTAAGTTCCCCTGCTTTGCCCAAAGTAAGGTTGACAGTACTTTAAAACGCTCTTATTTAGTCAAGAAAACTCCCGCCTTCTACAGTGGTTGCACCTTCACGCTTCCCATGCTTCACACAGTCTCTTTGAGTTCTTATTCGCTTTTCGTGACACCTTTCTTTGTTTGGATTTGCGGTTGTAAATAACTTGGGTTTGATTACAAGAAACCGCTCAATTGGCGCGGAAAGCAGAAAAATCATCACGGCGATAATCAAACCTCACCATCTATTTTGAATTACTACATTTTAAAATTTTCTCTTTAGGTTTGCCTGTTGAAGCACTCATTTAGTCGGAAACACCCTGATTTAATAATTCCTTGGTTCCATATCAACAAAAACAAAAACAAACAAACAATAACACATTAACAAATGGTCTCCTTGGGGACTGGGCCTCGTTTCCTAGAGGAGCTAAAGGAAGCTGGGCTCTAGAGACTTGAAGGCGCGAAATAAAAATATCAAAGATGGCGTCCAGAGGGTTTCTTCTTGCCGATCACAACATTCGGCCTTCTCGGCGCCCTGTTCGATATGTGGCTTCAAAGCAAACGAAACCGATAAAAAGGAAGAAAAAGAAGCCAGAGTGGGACGTAAGTATTAAAAAATGAATCTGATGGGATCACTTTTTTCACGATGATTGATCGATTTTACGTCAGGTTAATGTTAATTGACACAACTCACTGACTTTACAACTGGCGAAGAACTTATAGTCATTTTTTAACATCTTAGAACACAGTACACGATCTCACAGTACACAAGGCTACAAAAGAGGAGCAGGTAATCAGTGCGATTCGTTGTAAGTTTTTCAAAGCATCAGTAAGTTAGTAATTTGGTATAATATTTGTACCTCAAGAAACCAAACTCATAATTATAATTCACCGGAAGAAAAAAGAGTTTTCTCGCTTTAAGAAAGTGTTATAAACAAATATTAAATACCGGTAAAGAAATTTATTGCTCTTGATCAAAACGAATCTGCTTATAATAACGAAAAAATCGTTAAGCTAGGGGTTAAAAAAGTGACTAAGCGATTATTTTGTTTTCTTATTTTTTAAATGCTTCCCTTCATGTACAACCAAGTGGAAGGGTAAGGCAACCAAGATGCGCTTTCCATACAGCTGATTTTTCTATTATTATTAACATTGCCACTTTGATCGTGAAACTATTTTCATCCAAGCTACTTTTATTATTAACCAGTACACATTAAATTGAAGTTATTTTTATTGATTTTTTAATTATTATTCTCATCATTCTGCTTCTTCGATCATTATTATTGCTGTTATAATTTTTGTGATTATGGTGAATAAAGGATTATTTTATTTAAAAATTATTGTTATTATTATTATTATTATTATTATTATTATTATTATTATTATCATTTTGATCATGATTATTTCCATTATTATCTCTACCTCTTCAAGATTAGGAGACATGAAATTCATCTATCTAAGAATGCAGGCAGTGTACATTTACTTGATAAATCCAAAGACCAAAGCCTTGGTAAGTAGTGGAATCAAAGATTCTAAAAACAGAGCACTGAAAAGCACAGTGATTAGGTCTGGGGCATTGTTTTGAAATTATTAATAATTATGCTATAATTATTATTATGGTAATTATTATTATCTAGTGATTTTTATTATTATTAATTATTTTTATAATTATTATTACCTGGTGATTTTAGCCCAGCAAAGTTTGTAAACTTCTCGCTCTCAGATACAGTCACGCTACCTAGGCAGAAAAAATGTTGTCTGGGAAGATTTTGCAATTACAGAGTGACGTAAATAATGAAATGACTTCCTGACAAAAAACAATAGCATATTTTTTCTCTAGATGCTTTAGTTCTATGGCATTTTTAATATTGATGTATTTTTCAGATTTTACCACCCAAACTCCAAACACAGTTGAAAGATGCAAGCTGGCCATTGTTCAGGAGGTTCTGTATGGTCAAGATAAGGTATTTGAAGAAAGGAAAATGCAAAATAGTGATTTTTCAGGGTTAATTAACACCTGAGTTGAAATAAAAAATAAACCAAGTATGAACAAAAGCTGAGGGTGGGAATAAAAAGTGTGAACTACTTTAAAACTGCAAACAATTGAAAATGTATTTTCTTTGGTAGTTTCATGATGTGCTATCAGAATCAGACAAGACAATGTCAGTTGTAAAAGATTTATTTGGTGATGATCCTAAGGTAAGTTAGATGGAGAAAGTTTTGAGGATGGTGATAAGGACAATAAAGAAAAAAAGGTAATGATTATAATAATAATAATAATTAGTACTAATGATAATAAAAATGATTGTTAGAATATTAAAAGCAACTATAAAACCAATTATTTTTATTTTTATAGTAAATTTTTCTTATTATTCTTTTGCATTGAACTTTTGAAGGCTTTGCATTTCCTTTGTCGAGAGACTTAAAGTAAGATATAGACTACCTAAACAGCACATTATAATTTTATTATTCATAGCCATATAATTATGTAGTTTAGGTTAGTGATATTTTTTCTTAAAAGGAGAATTGTAACTTGGAAGATTTTTTTTATTTTTTATACACTTTCATGTTAGATTCAATAAAGGTTATTTCATTGATACTATAAAACCAACACTAATAATAATCTTTATGACAACAAGGTTCTATTTTGATATAATTTGAATTGCAGTCTTACTGTCAGACATGAATTTTTTTTTTTTAATTTTTTTTCATAAATGTTCAAAACAGAAGTATATGGGATTTCCTAACATTACTGCTGCTCCAAGTAATCTTTTCAATGGTAAAGAAAACAGGTAGGTCAACGTTTTTATTTGGATTCTTTTTTAAAATTCATTATTTAATAATTTAAAAAATTTTTGACTCTTGATTGGCTCAGACTTTGGAATATATTGCCAACATTCCATATTAAATAAAATTTGCTTTCCCTTGCCTATTTTCCCAGTTTTCAAATCAATGAAAGAGGTCATTTTCACCAATTAAAGCCTCAAAGTACTAGTAGCTGGAAATGTTGCCTGTTGCCTGTTGCGAACAACCCTTGTAATTTTGTCCATGCAAACTGGAAATACACTGTATCACTTAGGAATATCTGTAGCTTTAAAATGTTACAGCTATCATTAATTTGTGTGTTATGGTAACTTTTGAAGTAATGATTTTTTAGCCCTTTTATGGAGTTCATTCTCATTGCAAAAATCTTTTTGTTAGACTTCCAGTTGGTCCTGTGGCTGAAATGCCTGAAACTCCAACACATCTTTCATTACTGAGTGACTCAATCATGAGAACACCGGCACTAAATGAACTCCCAGATCATGACAAAGAAGGTTTGTGTCTAAAAATTATCATTGATACAACTCAGAAAAGGGAAGAATTAAATTTGAGCACAGTGTTAGCACAGGATGAGTTTTCCCGAATTTCTTTTGGAGGGTAGGGAGTGGCTGTACACAGGCTAGGATTTTTTTATCTTATTTTGTATTGTTTCAGAAAATTGGGCTGGCTTGGTCAAGGTTTTGGCTATTACAACGAATCAATGAATCAATGATAGAGTAATTATAATGGTAAAAGGAATCCTAGCCCTTTATATAAGTAGAAGTAATTTCATTTCTGTCTATAGGGAGCTTCAGGGGGATGTGGAAGGAGAGGAACTCTAAAGTGACTCACAAATGGTAGCAAAAATGTTGTTTTGATTTGTGTCGTTACGTGACTGTACTATTATTTTTCAGATGAGGAGCCATCCCCAAAGACACCTCCACCTGACAAAGAAAGGATCACCTTTCAACCTACGCTTGATGTCCAAAGATTCCGCCAATATGTGGCTGAGGAGCAAAGCAAACAAGCAGAACACCCAATGCCAACATGCCTGACAGGAAGCCGAGCAGGTCAAGAGCTGCCACCTGTGAGTAGTACCGATGGACAAGCCACCATTCCTTCAACAGGTGGTGATGAAGATTGTATGCCATTTCAAGAAGGACGTAGCACTGATAAAGTGTCTGCACATGGCAGGGTGCTTGCTGGACATGATTCTAGCAGTCAGCCTCCATCCTTTCTTAGTCAGGAATCATCAAGAACTGTGATTGCAGGCGGGCCTAATTTTATGAAAACAGGTACCACATGAATGGAAGCTCTCCTTTACCTTGTTTTACCCACAGCAGTGGCCAGCATCTTATTTTCTGTACATTATCAAGTGATTAGTTTAGGAGATTAAGGATAAGATTGCAAACTCGTTAATACCACTTAGGGGTTTCATTAAATTAATGTTCTTAACAGAATGGCAATTGGTTTTCACAGGTGGGCAAAACTCATTGAACTGACCTTCTTTATAAGTTAGATAAACTTTCCTCCAGATCATCAAATCAGGTGGGCAAAACCTTCCCGACAACTGGTTAATTTGCCTGGTGCCTGGCCCTTAATGAAACTCCAGACTATTGGAAATGTCTGAAAAACAGAATGGAGAATTTGCATGCTAATGATTTCATGTTGGGAATGGGAGGCAGGGTGGCCCCGTACTGTTCTCCAGTTTTCAAATTCTTAAATAACAATACATTAGGTAAAATGTGAAGGTGTAGTCTGATCGTCCGGGTGAGTGTAGTCCTGAGAAGGACTGTTGTCGGTGGTAGTCACTACCACTGACAACAGTCCTTCTCAGGACTACACTCACCCGGACGATCAGACTACACCTTCACATGTTACCCCAAGGTTCAAGCCATTTACTACATTAGGTAAAGTTTGAATAACCAAAGAACTTGTCTTGCAACCTGTTCAACATTAACTTCAAGCAGTATTGTTCCTCAAAATTTAACAATAATTATTAGAAAGTCTTGTAAAAATAATTTGTTTTATCAATCAATCATTGTTTGATAATCATATATTAAAATAAAAAAAATAAATAATAATAATAATAATAATCATCATCATCATATGATTGTCAAGTGTCCATAGGAGAGCCAACATCAAAGGAGGTGATTTCACAACATGTTGGAGACCAACTAACAAGGTACCAGAGTATAACATGATTACTTTTAAAAAAAGATTTTGGGGGAACTTATTTAAAAGGGGGTCTTATTAAGGGGGAAGAGTTAATTCATAGGTTTAATGAATGTGAATTTGTCTTTTCATTAGAAGCGTAGGCTCTGGTTCTCAAGGATCTGGCAAAGTAAAGACAAAAAGTAGTCACAAGCAAGCATCAAACTCGTTTTCTAGTGGTATAAGAAGCCTTGATGACTTAAAGAAGGTGTGGGAATTATTATTATTATTATTATGAATTGATGATTACCAGTAAAATTGATTCCTTCATCTCAAATGAATTACTGTAAACCATGCTACAATTATCAGGGTTCGACACCGACTTTTCAACTTACTAGCCAAGTGGCTAGTGACATGTTAAATGTTACAACAATTTCAGTTTGTTTCTTAGCCAAACTGGTCAGTGGAATTAAAAACTACCAGCCAAAACTGAATTTCTACTAGTCTGTGGCTAATTGGCTATGGTTAGTGTCGAGCCCTGATTATAATAGTTATGTTGGTTTTAAATAAATGCATTGTAGCCTTTGAAACTCTAGTGGTAGGCCTTGCTTCCATTCCTTAGCCCTTGTTATTTTAATTGTTACTCAGAAAATGTTAGGACTAGATTTTGATGTGATATGTACTTACAGTTGTCTTTGACTGTGTTTTCAAAAGATGGTGGAAGACCTGGAAGGTGAAGTAGCTAGATATGAATATGAAACAGGGCGCCAACAAACTAAGTTGCCTTCCCCATCCTCCACCGGCAGCTTTAGTGGTTATACTGCATCGCTTATAGCTACTGTCACCAAGTTGATGGGTTACTTGAAAGAGGTACATTACTATTGCTGTGGTTGATTGGCAACTCTTGGTTTAGTGTACTCTCATGTTGGTATTCACATCTGCTTTTAATTAACCTGACGTACCATATTATATCATTGTTATATCAGTAGCAGCACCCATGGGCAATATGAAGCAAATCTTGTGTTCTGATTGGCTACCCTATCCTGCTCTGCTTTACCTAACTTTGATCGTACACATGAAAAACATTGATTTTGTACTGAGTTTGTAATTCTTGGACAAGAATTACAAAGAACTTGGCCAATATCCAGCCATCTTGACCTCATGCATGGTCACTAAGTAACGCAAATTTATTTTACTATTTTTTAATATTTGATTTCAAGAGTGAAGTTCAAAGAAAAGCAGATATGGTTATGAGAGAGCAAGTGCTGCAGGGATTTGAAGAACAGAGAGCTTTGGTTGATGCTCTGACTAATGTGAGTTTGAAGTATTGCTGACAGTAAATTTTCCAAATCGTTAATCAGTCCAGCAACCATAGCAACCTGTCAAATTGGAGTTTTTGCTTTTGGAAGGATACCAGCTTCATCATATTGTCATTAAAAAAAGAAGTTGCAGTCTTAACTCCAAAACATAACAGGAAAAGACAAGTAATGCAAGGAATTATTTACAAGTTAAGTGCAGGTAATGCTGCAATGTATGCACAATGAGCAACACTGTAGTTATTTCTGACCCACAAAACACAAAACTATTAATCAATGATATTTCCCACTGCCAATAAGTAAATTTATGTGACATATGTGTATTTATACTTTCTCTTAGGATATTCTCCACACCCAAGAACAAAACCTAGCTTTGCAAAATGAACTGTTAGAATATAAGAAAAATACAGATGAGCACCTGCAATACTTGAAGGTAAAAGGAAACAATAAGTTCTAGAAAAGATGAAGTTAACACAGAGTGTAAATAGACACCAATAACCATCACACCGGGAAAACACCTTGAAAAAATTCTGGAGAGGAAGGGCCAGGCACAATGGACTTGAATCTCATCCAGAATTTGTTGCTTCACTCTGTCATTCCAGGCAAGGCTCCTGCAATGACCCGACATATGATTAAACAAATTTGTGAAAGTTAGGTTACCTTGTACCGAAAGAAAGTTTGTAATGAGAGAATCACATTTCAAGAGTCCTTTTCCTTTTCTTTTTCTAGAGAGAATTGTTTGCTGTTGTAAGAAGTTATGAGTATCAAGCACTCTCCAACAGTATAAACACCTTGTACAGCTTGAACCCTGTGGCTCTGAAGCAAGGTGGTACCGATGCCTTGAATTCAATGCATGATGAAGATCATAATTTGGAATATTTACCTGGTGCTCCAGTTGGCCAAGCACATGAGAAGGGGGAGAAAAAAAGTGTTGGACATGACAAACGCCGAGGAGTTTTTACAGACACCAGAGATGGACCTTCTTTCATACCTCTTGCTACACCAGCAGATCATGATGTACCACAGCATTCCACTACAGAGAGCAATTCTGCAACATCTCAACAAGAAGCCAAAGTATTCAGTCAAGCCGTAGATGGCAGAGGCCCATTAAAGGCTACCACCTGGATTTCCTCTGAGAATTCCTTATCACAGCATCATCCAGTGGCTCCTATGGTTTCTTCTCAATCTGAAAATGAGCTCATTCCAGCATATCAAAATTCTGGATCATCTAAAGTTACTTTTGGGATTCCAGGTCACAGTGAGATAAGCTCTAACATTGTCATGTACCCACCAAGTCAAGTTACCTTCACTCATGCTGGAAGGAGAGAAGGATCATCATCAAGGCCTATAGCTGGCATCTCCAGTGAGCCCAATGTTGCCCCAGTTAACCTGCCACCCCAAGCTAGTACTTCCTCTAGAGTACCTACAGGATTTTCCATGAATCCTTCACATAATCCTCAGAAACATCCACAAAGGCAGCCCACCATTGACCATGCTATGGAACCAAGGCCTATTGGTGCACAAGTGTACAAAGCTCAAGGTCACCCAAAATTGGTTCGAGAACTGCAGCCTGAAATTTCCGAAGGCATGGAAGCAAGGCCTGAAGACCCACAAGGCTTTTCAGTGCAAGATAATTCACAGGCAAGGCATGGACTGCAGCCTGCAATTGCTAATGCTATGGAACCAAGGCCTGGTGACCCACAAGGGTTTTCAGCACAAAGTCATCCTCAAGCAAAACAAGGACTGCATCCAGCATTTGGCAATGCCATGAAACCTGGACCAGCTCGTCCACCAGCATTTTCAGGACAAGGAAATTCGCAAGTTCAAGGACCAACTGGTCAAAGAGCAACTGTCAGTGCTGTGGGACTATTGCCTGATGGTCCACAAGGGTCTCTAGTTAGACCTCAGGATGGTTCTCTAATATTTTCCCAGGCAGCACCCTCTGGACCAGCAGTGACTTCCACTCAAACTGTGAGTGTTTTGCACCATCAACATCAGCCTCATCAGCAAGGCCACAGCCAACCAAACACTAAAGCAGAACGTATATCAAAACCTAAAGGTTTTGCAGCAGTTTCTAGGAATACAGTTTGTGGACTTCCTGCCAATCATCAGCTTAGGGAACGGCTTCAGAACATGGCTAACAGGCAGAAGGGTGTGACAGCCAGACAAAGTGACCAGGATAGTGGAAATGTGCAGGATTTGGAAGGTACAATGAATAGAAACAAGCACATAAAGTTGTCTCGTTGATTGTATTTAGTCCATCATTCTAAAAGAATAATTAGAGTAACATGTATAATAATTTAGTTGTTGGCATGAAATCTGTAAATAAAAAGTGGACATGCAGTGATGTTTGGGCCCACCTCTCTCACTGATGCCCTGATGTGAATTTCTTTACCTAGCACAAGTAGTCAACCTAAAAGTTATCAAATGTTATGTTAGGCTTAATATGAAAACGGAACAAACAAACATGCCATCAAATGCTACAAGAAATTCAATGTTTTGTAGCATTTTATGCCATGTTTGTTTGTTCCATTTTCATATTAAGCCTAACAAGGAATTCTAAGGATGAAACTTTTAATTAGCTTATCAATTGTGAACATTTCATGATTTCCAGACTGAGTGTTCTTTTTTTATTTCCCAGGTCAACATCCACGTCCAACATCTCCCCATGTGCACTTCCAAGAGCCTCCAGTTGCTGGGAATGGACAACAGAGTGTTGAACCCGGACAGGAACAAATTTCTCCTCCATTGTCACCCATTCCACATAGGAATCCAACTGTCAAGAGATCCACAGCTCCCCCTGACAAAAGAGTTGTCATTAACCTACCAAATGCCTGGTCTGATGTCTCATCAACAATTTCCCTGTGAAATCAAAGCTTTACACATTGTTACAAGACTCTTGCACATAAAAATCATGTGGTCATCATGTCAAAACATCGTTTCATTTTGTTACTTAACTTACTTTCACCCTTACACTCCTAGAAGTGGTCAACAATTGACTTCCTCGTACAGTATCGTTTAAAGACACCTTAAAGCGCAAACAATGAAAACTGTTGATTTTTATGACAGAGTACCCTGCGAGCTGAGCCTCTTTAATCTGTCCTAGAATTGAAAAAGGAAAAAGGCTCTGCCAACATCCTGTTGTTGCTCGTTTGAACATGCGTGGCAGTTGCCTAGAAACTGAACCTTTTCCAGGCCCCCTTGAACTATTGTGGGCGCAGATTTGGTCATATGTGTACATGAAAAACAAAGGTGTGCGCACCAAAACCGGTTTGACTGGAGGCAAAACCGGCTCGAGTAGCACGGAGTTTTGGGCTTTCGGCATTTCAAAGCAACAACAGGTTGTTGGCAGAGCCTTTTCCCTTGGAGGGTTAAAAAGAAAAGAAGAAAAGGCTCTGCTCACAGGGTAATGACAGAGATGCACTCTGCTCTTCCATCTACATGAATAGGTACTAAACCCAAGTAACCTCAAAAAAGTAAAATTAAAATCTAGTGTGACTTAATAAAATACTGAGACTGGCAGGCAGGCCTTTTAGAGCCATTTCAGTTTGAGAGAATACTATTATGTACGTATTCCAAGATGTAAAGAGTGTGTTTCAGTCCACAAGAAGGTCTTCTTTATTTGCATGCTGGAAAGTGTGTTGGAGAGAGGTTTACCAGAGACTACCATCTCTTGCAACCCTAATAGTGAGGGCCCATTTGCAGTCTTGAGTGTGTTTTAGGTCCCTTTTTGCTATCCGTGTTAATTTTCAAAAAATTACCCAAATCAGTACCAAATAAAAGAAATATTTTGGCCATTTCATTTACATTTAACTGTACTCATCCACTGACTGCAGAAAATTATTACTTTTCCCTGGCTTTTCAAGCTTTTATACCAAGGGTTTGTGAATAAAGGAAAGTTCCAATGTCAGATTGTTGCCACCCAGCTTAGAGTTAATGGAATGGATAAACACCAGTAGATGAGACCTGAAAAAGGAGTCTTAGTGCCTTCAAGTTAGGAATTTACATTAATGTATGTGTCTGTTTTTCATAAAGAAATAATTAAGAAAAGGTTCCAGAGTATCCATCAAGCACATTGTGTTTTACATTGTGGTAAAATTTGAACCTCTTACTAACTGAGGCTTTTTCTGTCCTGTAAGTAAAAGTTTTTCCCGCTCAGATTTATGGATCAAGCACAAAAATGCATGGGCTATAAATCCAGGTGCAAAAAACGATGTTCCTAAACTTACAACACATATTGAGAAAATGAGGTTAGTAAGATATTTGTAATATCCCAGGATTCCAATTGACCAATTATAGTAAATGTATTGAGAGATAAAACATTTTTTTTGTCACATCCCATCACCTAACCCATGCATTTGAGGTCTCACTCATTGAAATCCTTCCCAAACCACAAATCTCAAAGAACCACATTTAATGAAACAAAACAAATGATTGTAGACCACAATTTTAATGGACTTTGAGAAAAAATAGTCTTTTTAAAATTAATACACATGATTGTTGCAAATATCTTATTTATTTCCCTTTGCCTTTCTTTCCTTTCTTTTTCTTCGCAGTTGCTCCAGCTCCCTGCTGCTGGTTTGTATTATCACTTTGTGAAGACTTGCTTTGACGACTTTTCAACTTAGGGATCATTTCACCAAGAAATAGAAATAATGCTTTCCCTGTGAAAGCAAAAACAGAACATTTGCAACATGTTTTAAAAGGAAAATTTAAGGAATTTACTCTACAACTTAGAAAATTGTAAGCTCTGGAAATAAAAATTTCAGGAACCTTAAGGTATTTTGAAGAAGTCTATTTCTTTAACTGAAGCACAATCTAACTTTGAACAGCAGAAAAAAAATACTTTTGTTGTGTACTTTGTGGTTTTCTTGTACTGCATTAAACTATGTAAATATTATGTAAACACTAATCTTCTATAGACTGATGAAGGCTAAGCAAAAATCAACATGAACCAGTCCCATTCTTCTACATGATATAACTTTGGAAGATGGAATGAACACTTTTGCTTCAATTTTCTGATACCTCATTCAACAAAAAACAATTGAAATATATATGTACAGTGAAATGAAGGAAAGTGAACATGAAACCAATAATGATACAGAACTTCTGCATTTTAACACTGTCATGTAGTTAACACTCAGATTATTGACTTACTTGATTGGAATTTTTCATTCACAAAGCTTTCATCACTATTTTTTAGTTGAACTCTTACTCTGCCTTTACATAGGGCATCTTTAGCACTGTCTTTAGGATAAAATTTGCTCTGGAAAAAAAGAGATATTTCAAAAATCTATTAACCCTATCACTTCCAAGATTTCATTGTTTATTCTCCTTACTGTCTGTTATACAATTCTTATGATCTTAGGTAGGAGAATTTGGTATTGGATCAACTGTTGTTCCCTAATTGATATATATATATATATATATTTAGTATATACACACTCAGTGATCTTGACGTTTCAAGCAATCTGATTGGTTTGCTATCTCGGGCTAATCAAAAATATACACCTCCGAGCGAGTGGATAATGTGAAAAACAAAATGACAGGCATAAACTCGTGTTTCGCTAAAGTTTCAGAAGCAGAAACTGCCTTTAAATGGCTTCCTTTTAAATTTGTCGGGATCACTTCGTGTGTATATACTAAAACAATTATTCTTTTCAATCTTGTTGAATAGTGGCTTTTGGGAATATTTACCTTGCCGCTTCGCGGCTTGGTAAATATTTAGCCACTATTCACCTCGATTTCAAAAAGGTCCGGCCCCGGCCGGACCAACACTCAAGGTCTTAAAATAATTGAGAAGAATTTGCTACCTTTCTATAACATCAAGAAATGGTTAGATATTCTAGTCTTCTCGGATAGGGACGAATAAATGGAGGTCCCGTCTCCTGCAGGGTTGGGG